GATCTTTGAAGAAGGCCATTGGTATTTTAATGGGAAGTGCGTTGAATTTATAGATTGCTTTGGGTAGTATGGACATTTTAATGATGTTGATTCTACCAATCCAAGAACATGGTATGTTCTTCCATCTGTTTATGTCTTCCTCTATCTCTTTTTTCAACGTCCTGTAGTTTTCTGAGTAGAGGTCTTTAACCTCTTTAGTTAAGTTTATTCCTAGGTATCTTAATTTTTTTGGTGCGATGGTAAATGGGATTGTTTTTCTAATCTCTCTTTCTGAAAGTTCACTATTGGTGTATAGAAATGCCTCAGATTTCTTGGGGTTAATTTTGTATCCTGCTACATTGCCAAATTCATGTATTAAGTCTAGTAGCTTTTTGATGGAGTCTCTAGGGTTTTGTATGTATAATATCATGTCATCTGCAAATAAGGACAGTTTTACTTCCTCTTTTCCAATTTGGATGCCTTTTATTTCTTCTTCTTGCCTAATTGCAATGGCTAATACTTCCAGGACTATGTTGAACAGGAGTGGTGAGAGTGGGCATCCCTGTCTTGTTCCTGTTCTTAGGGGAAATGGTGTTAGTTTTTGTCCATTGAGTATGATGTTGGCTGTGGGCCTGTCATATATGGCTTTTATTATGTTGAGGTATGATCCTTCTATTCCCACCTTTCTGAGAGTTTTTATCAAAAATGGGTGTTGGATTTTGTCGAATGCTTTTTCTGCATCAATTGATATGACCATGTGGTTTTTTTCTTTCAATTTGTTTATGTGATGTATCACATTTATTGATTTACGGATGTTGTACCATCCTTGCATCTCTGGGATAAATCCTACTTGGTCATGGTGTATGATCCTTCTGATGTACTGCTGGATCCGATTTGCTAAGATTTTGTTGAGGATTTTGGCATCTATGTTCATGAGGGATATTGGCCTGTAATTCTCTTTCATTGTGATGTCTTTACCTGGTTTTGGTATTAGGGTGATGCTGGCTTCATAGAATGAGCTTGGAAGTGTTCCTTCCTCTTGAATTTTTTGTAGTAGTCTGAGGAGGGTAGGTTTTAGTTCTTCCTTGAATGTTTGGTAAAACTCCCCTGTGAAGCCGTCTGGCCCTGGGCTTTTGTTTGCTGGAAGCTTTCTGATGACTGCTTTAATTTCTTCCATAGTTATTGGCCTATTGAGGTTTTTAGATTCTTCCTGATTGAGTTTTGGAATGTTGTATTTTTCTAGGAATTTGTCCATTTCCTCCAGGTTGTCTAGTTTGTTGGAGTAGAGTTGCCCGTAGTATTGTTTAACAATCATTTGTATTTCTGTGGGGTCTGTTGTTATTTCGCCTCTATCATTTCTGATTTGGTTTATTTGGAACCTCTCTCTTTGCTTCTTGGTGAGCCTGGCTAGGGGTTTGTCAATCTTGTTTATCCTTTCAAAGAACCAACTCTTGGTTTCATTGATTTTCTGTATTGTTTTTTTGGTCTCTATTTCATTGATTTCTGCTCTAATCTTTATTATCTCCTTCCTTCTGCTCACTCTGGGGTTTTCTTGTTGCTCTCTTTCTAATTCTTTGAGTTGTAGAGTTAGGTGATTAACTACCATTTTTTCTTGTTTTTTGAGATAGGCCTGTAGAGCTATAAACTTCCCTCTCAGGACTGCTTTCATTGTGTCCCAGAGGTTTTGGATTGTTGTGTTTTCATTGTCATTAGTGTCCAGGATGGTTTTAATTTCTTCTTTGATGTCATCGGTAACCCAATCAATATTTAATAACATGCTATTCAGCTTCCAAGTGTTTGAGTATTTTGGGTTGTTTTTATTGTAGTTTATTTCTAACATTATGCCATTGTGGTCTGAGAAGATGCTTTTTATGATTTCAATCTTCTTGAATTTGTGGAGACTTTGCTTGTGACCCAATATGTGGTCTATTTTTGAATATGTCCCATGAGCACCTGAGAGGAATGTATATTCCGCAGCTGTGGGGTGAAGTGTTCTGAAGATGTCAATTAAGTCCATCTGATCTAGTGAGTCATTTAGGATTGCTGTTTCTTTGCTGATTGTTTGTCTAGCGGATTTATCCAGTGATGTCAGTGGTGTATTAAAGTCCCCTACTATGATTGTATTGTTGTCGATCTCTCCCCTGATATCTTCCAGAAGTTTTCTTATGTATGTGGGTGCTCCTGCATTGGGTGCATATATGTTTACCAGGGTTATATCTTCTTGTTGTATTGATCCCTTTAGTATTATGAAGTGGCCTTCCTTATCTCTGGTTATGGCCTTCACTTTGAGATGTATTTTGTCAGATATAAGTATTGCTACCCCAGCTTTCTTTTCCTTTCCATTTGCGTGAAAGATATTTTTCCATCCCTTCACTTTCAGTCTGTGTGAGTCCCTTCTAATGAGGTGGGTCTCTTGTAGACAGCAGATGTATGGGTCATGTTTTTTTATCCATTCAGCCACTCGATGTCTTTTGGTTGGAGCATTTAGTCCATTTACATTTAAAGTTATTATTGAAAGGTACTTGTTTGTAGCCATTTCTTTTTTTTTGTGTGTGTGGCTGTTTTCTTTCTGAGCTTGATATTTCTTCTTTTTACACCAGTCCCTTTAGCATTTCTTGCATGGCTGGCTTGGTGGTGATAAACTCCCTTAGCTCTTTTTTGTCTGTGAAGCTTCTTATTTCCCCTTCAATTTTGAATGATAGCCTTGCTGGATAGAGTATTCTTGGATTCAGTCCTTTGCTTTGCATCACTTTGTAGATTTCCGTCCATTCTTTTCTGGCCTGATGTGTTTCTGTTGAGAAATCATTTGATAGTCTAATGGGAGATCCCTTGTATGTTACTTTCCGTCTCTCTCTTGCAGCCTGTAAGATTCTCTCTTTATCCTGAACATTTGCCATGGTAATTATGATGTGTCTTGGTGTGGGTCTTTTCGGGTTCACCTTGTTTGGGACTCTCTGGGCTTGTGTGACTTTTTTCTTCCCCACCTCAGGGAAGTTTTCTGATATTATTTCTTCGAATAGGTTTTCTAATCCATGTTCATCTTTCTGTTGTTCTGGCACCCCTATTATTCGTATGTTGTTTCGTTTCATGTTGTCCCAAAGCTCCCTTAGGCTCTCCTCCTGTCTTTTAATTTTTTTCTCCATTCGCAGTACAGTTTGAGTGTGTTTTGCTTCCTTGTCTTCTAATTCACTAATTCGGTCCTCCGCTTCTCCCAGTCTACTGTTGATACTTTCAATGGTGTTTTTTATTGCAGCTATGTCGCTCTTCATTTCTTCTTGGGACTTACTTAAGTTGTTGATTTTTTCATCTGTTTCTTCTAGCTTCTTGCATAAGTAGTTGAGTTTTTCATCTGTTTCTTCTTGCTTCTTGAACATCCGGTTCATGTACTCTAGGAACCTTATTCTGAATTCTTTTTCCGTCATGTTGCATATCTCTGTCTCACTTAGCTGCTTTTCTGGCAAGTCCTCCTTTTCTTTCCTTTGGGGGTTTCTTTGTCTACCCATGTTTGATCTCACTGACATGACTAGTTGTTGAGTCGTTCAGTGGCTGGACCCTGGGTGGCAGTGGCTGCTCCCTGGGTGGCAGTGGCTCCTCGGGCTGTGGTTGCTCCGTGGGCGGTTGTGGTAGCAGTGGCTCCTCTGTTGATAGCAGAGCCTCTGGTGGGTGCTGTTCACAGCTGTGGTGGCTCTTCTGGCTGGTGGAGGGAGGCTTCACACACAGCAACTGTTCCCCAGGCAGAGCGTGTGGTGATCAGGAGGCCGCTGTTGCTTGAATCTGCTTTCCGTGGAGGGATGCAGGTCTCCTCTGGGCTCTTGCAGTCGCGCTGCTTGCGAGTCGTTGCCTCCGGGTTAGTAGCCGCTGGGTTAGTAGCCGATCTCTGGATGCCGGTAACAGCTACCCAAGATGGCGCGGTCTCGCCGCTGCGCTGGCGCCCAGGGGGAGGTTTCAGCCTCAATCTCTAACCATCCGCATTTTTTAGGAGTTCTCTGTCTTTCCTGGCTGCAGACTGTCTCTCAGCTGAACCTCCCCAGCTTGATCGGGCTGATTGTTACCCGTTTCAGCTGTTCGCCCCTATCTGCTCCGGGACAAAGCACCAACACGTCCGTCTAAGCCTCCGCCATTTTTTCTCAAAACATAGTGTTATTCTTGTACTATTTATTATTTATTGTGTTATTTTTCATACAACTAAACCTACTTTTGCCCCACCCTGTATTTTAAAATAAGTAAAATTAAAACTAGAAAACATTTTTATATTTTAATGCCTATGTAACAAATATATTATTTAAAAAATCTCTTTTCAGATAAATAAAAAAAAATTCCTTAAGTCACCCATAAGTAGAGATGCCATATGCCCAGAATGGTCCCAGTTTATGCTTTTGTTCTGGTGTAATTATCACTATCACTTCATTTCAGTCTCATTGGCATCCTGGTTTGGATGATGAACTGTCTGGTCAACCCACCCACAAAACGTATCCTAGCCCATAAGTTCAACCTGCCTGTGATGGAACTGAACCCACTTCTTTGGCTGATGACCACATGAAATAGTTGACTTGAGTTTAGGGACCTTGAGTGAAGAAAAATGTGTGTTTGTAATAATAAATGAATATCAGTGAGGTGGGCAATGATCAAACCACTCAAGGTAATGGGAAGTAAACAATCTGGAGATACACTAGCCTCACTTCAATGGCTCATTGAGAGGAATGGTGGATGAACCACTGTGATATTTATCTGATCTCTCTCTCTCCTTTATAATTACATGCACAAATGTTACATGCACATACATCATAGCTTAACTCTATAGAATGTACCATGTTGTATTTACAACATGCCTCTACCTCCTGAACTGTGAGCTCTTAGAGGACAAGGACCATGTCTGATTTCTCCCTGTGGCCTGCACATAAACTCTCTAAATGTTTGTTGAATGAATGAATGAGCTCTGTGGAGACCTACACTGATATCTGGTGCTCTCTTCTCCACAGATTATGGTTGTCAATCTTGAAGACTGTAATCTTTATGAAGGCAGGAACTAGATTTACTAAAATCAACACTAGGACCCCAAAGCAGAGCACTGATATACAGTAGGTACTAATCCATAACAATTTGATGAATGGATGAATGAATGGAGGGATGAATGAATGTTTCAGTTTTTGGGTCAGTTACCTGAGGATCAGTTTCATATATTGATCATTGCCATTATGGACTGAATGTTCCTGTCCCCACCCCCCCCCAAAACATTTTTTTATATCTTGAAGCCCTAATCCCCAATGTGATGGTATTTAGAGATGGAGCCTTTCAGAGGTAATTAGGGTTATATAGGTCATGAGAATAGGGCCCTCATGTCAGGATTGGTGGGTTTATAAGAAGAGGAAGCTTGTCCACACCAAGGAAAGCCATATGGACATAGCAAGAAGGTGGCCAACTACAAGACAGGAAGAGAGCTCTCAGAGGAATCCAATTTGCTGGCACCTTGATCTTGTATTTCTGACTCTAGGACTGTGAGCATCTGTTGTTTAAGCCACCCAGTCTATGGTATTTTGTATGGCAGCTGAGCAGACTAAGACAGGTGGCCTACCTGGCCCTGGCATGGGATGGGAGAGTTCTCTCACTGGTGGAGGTGGAGTTCATGGAGGAGGCAGGGTTTGGAGATCTTGAATGAAGATGGGAAGCACCTTACAAGCTGTCAGCACTTCCTATGTGTCTTGGCAAAGTGCCCTTCTGTGCCTGCAGTTTCTTTAAAGCATTTTTCCCCAGCTGCTGCCCTCATTATGGATGATATTCCCATGCCAGGGAATATGTTCCCTGGGGATGCTCAGGTTTTGATAAAGTCTAAAAAATTGGGTGGGAGAAAGTACAGTGAAATAATTGGTAAATGGCACAATTACTAAGAATACACCAGTGCTGATGATTAACTTGGATTGTGCCATATTTGAAATGTGTTGGGAGTTATGCAGGTACCATTGAGCCAGCTGTCACATCATCCTGTCTTCTACTCAAGAACACAAATCAGATTCAAGTGACTGTGGTGTTATTTTAGGGGAGATATTGAATTTACTCTAGTTTTCTAAAAAGTAGCTAATTCACAAATTTTAGCATTCTCACGATTAATAGGAACAAATTACCTCACAACTGACTGAGACACTCTAAGGTAGAGAACAACTATTCCTTTGTTTTAGTATTGCCTTCTCCATCACTTAAAATGGTAAATGTTCTTGAAGGATAACATGCTACCCCTTATCCACTGTGTGCATGATGGAGGGGTGTCAGGTGTGATATGGAGTTGCGTGTGTGTGTGTGTGTGTGTGTGTGTGTGTGTGTACAGAGAGAGTTGGGGGAATGGGGTAGTGCAGTCAGAAAAGGGGTGGGTGGAGGAGGGGACTGAGTGCTCCAAAGCCTCACAATTTTTGCTTTGGGCTCCACAGCAAACACCTCCTCCCTAAATATCAACCATGATTGTATCTTTATTTTTTTATTTTTTATAGTAAAATTTCCTATAGCCAATTAGTTATGGGATGAAGATGTTTGTGGCAAAAATGCTTCTGGCAAAGATGCTGCTGTGAAAATACTGGACATGCCCTGAGATACCTTCCATCACTGACACTTTATGGCTGGAAGATTGTGAAGGAGAATAAAATGGTTAGTGTTTGGTGGCTTGCCCTTTCTCATCTCACTGTTTCTCCCCCTTGCCACTGGCTCCGGGTTCAGGACATTCTTGCTGCTACCGGATGGTTTGCAGCCGTCGCTAACCTTTCGGACCTCAGGGACCACCAGTGGTCTGCAGACCACTGGTTGGTGACCGCTGGTTTAGGACTCCAAAATGGTCACTTTAGTCACCAGTACTGGTTATAGTGAAATTTTTAAAAAAATATTTTGATTTTTCACAGAGAGTAAGGGAGAGGGATAGAGAGTTAGAAACATCGATGAGAAAGAAACATCGATCAGCTGCCTCCTGCACACCCCCTACATGCCCTTGACCGGAATCGAACCTGGTACTCTTCAGTCTACAGGCCAACGCTCTAGCCACTGAGCCAAACTGGTCAGGGCTTTAGTGAAATTTTGCTCCTTGTTTGCCTATCTCTGTCCACCCATGAGGTTGAATTTCTAATTTTTCCTCAGCTTTCACTCATGACAATAGTACCATTTGGTCATTCATTCATTTATTCATTCACTAGGTACCAGGCACGGTGCTAAGGGAAGAGAATGTAGTGAGAGAAAAATGGACATTGTCTTGTGCTTGTGGAATGAGCATGATGGTGGAGGAGACAAATCTGATGACGGGTGTAATGAGAAAGGAACCAGATTGGTGAGGACAGTTATTGGGGGGAATTAAGGGGAAGAAGGGTGGGATAGGTAAGATCTCTTTGAGGACCAGACTTTTGAGCTGAGGCTTAACTAGTGAGTAGGAGGGAGAGAAAAGAAGCAAGTATTTGTGTGTGTGGTGGGGAGGGATTGTGAGGATGGGGGAGGGGGATGTCAGCTCCATGAGTGCAAGGATTTTTGACTCTTGTTTGCTGCTGTACCCCAGTGCCTCAAGTGATAGGCACTCAATGAGTAGTTATTGAAAGAAAGAATAAATTGAGCCACACAGGTAAAGTCTCTGTGGTATGAAAGGAGCTGAAAGAAAGCCAGGGTCCCTGCTGTTTTCAGAAGCTCTAAGCAGCAAGAGTTGAAGTCAGGGAGTTAGTGAGGAGGCTCACCTAGTTTGCATTCTCCCAAAAAGCATATGCTGAGACCAGGATCTGGGTGCAGGTAGTTTTAATTTGTGAAACTCAGAATGGGAGAACAGAGAAGAAAAGAGAGAAAAGTTAATAAGTAAAGCAGGGTTTAATGAATGGGGGTTGAATCCCATTGGGGACCTCTGAGTAATCTTGTGAAACAAGCCTGAGCATTGTCCTCCCAAGGGTTGGGGACCGGTATTCATCTGTGACTCATGCTCTCACTGGTTGAGAAGTATCCCTGGGAGCATTGAATCCCTACCACTTCCGGGCTGCCCTGCTCTGCGTTGAGGAAGCTCTTAGACAGAGGAGTCATTTGGGGTAGAAGGGGCCATCTTCTCAGCCACCCTCTACCACTGCTGCAGGTGAACTCAGAGGAGGCTGGAGGGTCTGGCCGGGCATCAGCAGGGTCTGCTGCTGTGGCCATGCAGAGCTCCAGACAAGAGGGAATTGTGTTTTGAGGACTTTGGCTGTGGAAGGTGATCAGCAGTAGAGTCAGAGCTCTTCCTCTCTTCCTCTCTCTGTCCCTCCCCTTTCATTCCACAAGTACGTATTGCTGTGGTCTGGCTTCCTGGGAAGCTGAGTTTATGGAGCAGGCAGATGGAGTGTCCTTGCACCAACACTCATGGTAAGGAGGGAACAGATGCGGGAGTGGGCAAAGGGAGAACCCGACAGCTTCAGCCAACCCACAGGGTGCTCCAGAGCTGGATCTGTTCTTCACAGTGTCCTGGGTGGGGCCCCGAGGCTGGCCCTCCATCCTCCCAAGGCAGCTCTTGCAGGCAGCTCTGTTCAGCTGGGGCAGTTGCTGTCATAGAGTCCACCACAGTTATTCAGGGTCTTTTGCATGTTGGGCACTGTTGTAGTTACTGGGAGTATAGCAGTGAATGGGGTGAGGAGGTGAGGGGGAGAGAACAAACATCAGGCAAAGCAGAAAAACAAACAGGGTTAGCTGAATGATGGCTAGGCCGGAGGATGAAGGCGGGATGGGAGTGAGGGAAACTTGGAAGAAAAAAGCAATCTCACCCTGGCAATTTGGTGGTGGGCAGCTGCTCCTTGCACTGGATTCCCTAGGAGCTGTGATCTGCTCCATCTCTTGGCCATAATTCTCCTCCTCTATGTAGGGGCAGCCCCCTTCCTGAGGGCAGCATTTGGGACCCTCTGCTTTCTTTCTTTCTTTTTTTAATTCTTTATTGTTTAAGGTATTACATATGTCTCCTTATTTTCCAATTGATCTCTCCCTGGCTATTTCCACCCCCCAGAACATGCCCTAACCCCCATACTGTCTGTGTCTATGGGTTATGCTTATATGCATGCATACAAGTCCTTTGGTTGATCTCTTACCACCTGCTCCCCCCGCCCACCCCGCTTTCCCGCTGAAGCTTGACAGTCTGTTTGATGCTTCTCTGTCTCTGTATCTATTTTTGTTCATCAGTTTATGTTGTTCATTATATTCCACAAATGAGTGAGATCCTGTAATATTTATCTTTCTCCGACTGGCTTATTTCGCTTAGCACCATGGTTGGCAAACTGCGGCTCGCGAGCCACATGCGGCTCTTTGGCCCCTTGAGTGTGGCTCTTCCTAAGCCTTAGGAGTACCCTAATTAAGTTAATAACAATGTACCTACCTATATAGTTTAAGTTAAAAAAATTTGGCTCTCAAAAGAAATTCCAATCATTGTACTGTTGATATTTGGCTCTGTTGACTAATGAATTTGCCGACCACTGGCTTAGCATAACACTCTCCAGGTCCATCCATGCTGTTGCGAATGGTAAGAGTTCCTTCTTTTTTACAGCAGCATAGTATTCCATTGTGTAGATGTACCAAAGCTTTTTAATCTACTCATCTGCTGATGGGCACTTAGGCTGTTTCTAAATCTTAGCTAGTGTAAATGTGCTGCTATGAACATAGGGGTGCATATGTCCTTTCTGATTGTGTTTCTGATTTCTTGGGATATAGTCCTAGAAGTGGGATTAGTGGGACAAATGGGAGTTCCATTTTTAGTTTTTTGAGGAAACTCCATACTGTTTTTCACAGTGGCTTCACCAGTCTGCGTTCCCACCAGTAGTGCATGAGGGTTCCTTTTTCTTCGCATCCTTGCCAGCACTTGTCGTTTGTTGATTTGTTGATGATAGCCATTCTGACAGGTGTGAGATGGTACCCCACTGTTGTTTTGATTTGCATCTCTCGAATGATTAGTGACTTTGAGCATGTTTTTATATGTCTCCTGGCCTTCTGTATGTCCTCTTTCAAAAAGTGTCTATTTAGGTCCTTTCCCATTTTTTGATTGGATTGTTTATCTTCCTTTTGTTAAGTTGTATGAGTTCCCTATAAGTTTTGGAGATTAGAACCTTATTGGATATAACATTGGCAAATATGTTCTCCCATGCAGTGGGCTTTCTTGTTGTTTTTTTGATGATTTCTTTTGCTGTGCAGAAGCTTTTTATTTTGATGTAGTCTCATTTGTTTATTTTCTCCTTAGTTTCCATTGCCCTAGGAGCTATATCGGTAAAGATATTGCTACAACATATGTCTGATATTTTGCTGCCTATGGATTCTTCTAAGATTTTTATGGTTTCCTGTCTTACAATTAAGTCCTTTATACATTTTGAGTTTATTTTTGTGTACGGAATTAGTTGGTGTTCTAGTTGACCCTCTGCTTTCTGTGGCAGGCAACCTCAGGTTTTAGGAGCTGGAGGTTGGCATGTCTTCCTGCTGCCTCTGTCACCTTCTACCCAGAACAGCTGGGCACAGCCTTGGGCCTGATCATTAACCCAGGCAGGGGTGGTGGATTGGCAGAGGTGGGACTGGGCCCAAGCCAGGGCCAACACTGTGTTTGTGTTTCTGCCTGGCTCACTCAGACAGTCTGCTGGCCTGCCTCACCTGGGCTGGTGTATGTAGGGGCTGACTGCGACACCTCCTATTGGGGGAAGGGGTGAGGGAGGCACTCCCAGCCAGGCCCAGGCTCTGCTGGTTGCCTCCCCCCATCCCAGAAAGGTCAAGCATCCCAGCCGCTGGGGAGTCTGCCCACAGCTGTCCTCGAGATCATGGATCATTACTGTGGGAGGGCGGCACAGCCTTAGCCTGGGCAAGGGCACGGTGATAGCAGCCTGGCTGGTGAGGGGCCAGGAGCAAACCCAGACTGCGTGTGGTCCTTGATCCTCAGGGACAGAGTCCCTGGGCAGCCTTGCTGCTCCAGGCAGCTGAGGGCACTGCTGGGGATCCCATGACCTGAGGGTGGTGAGGTCCAGAGAGTGGAGCTGCCCTGGGCTGGGGGAGCATCGGTTTGGATTTGGTGTGGAACAAAACAAACCCAATCCAACACTGAGTTAATTAGTGACTAGCCCCTCTGTTTCTGTGGCTTCCTGGTGGATGCAGAAACGAAGTGGTGGGAGGGCTAGAAGACCTTTGGAAGCCCAGCTCTTGCCTGCAGCACGAAATAAGAACCGTGCTAACTCCTAACACAAGTGTAGGAAGGCAAAGACAGTTCTCACTTTTGTGGTGGGGTGGGGTGAGGTGGGGTGGGGCAGGATGGGGTGCGGGGGGAGGGGGGGAACTGTTTTGCCTCTAGCCAGAGCTCTTGAACAGCCTGGACTTTGGGGTTCCTCTTCCTTTCCCTTCCCTGGCTTCTGGGGGATGGCTGCAGAGGCCCCTGGGACTTTCTAGAATTGCAGCATTTACCAAGTGAAAGTGCAGTATAATTAGTTAAATGTGAATTTCAGATAAATGAACTTTTTTTTTTTTGAGGATAAGTATGTCTCATGCATTTTGGAAACATACTTATATATACTTATACTAAAATATTTCAATTTCTGAAACTCACCAAATTAGAATAATACATGGGACATACTTATCCTATAAAATCAGTCATTTATCTGAAATTCACATGTAACTGGCATTCTGGATTTTATCTGCAAAATGAC